ATAGAACTTATAAAAATCCAAATAAAAATATATTTAATTAAAGCCATATGTATTAAAATGTGTGTGTATGTGTATACTAGTGGATAGGTGAACCAGCCAAATAAACATGGGTGAAGATAGAATTAGTAAACTGAAGACAGATCAAAAGAAAATACTTAGAATGCAATACAAAAAGATAAGAAAATAGAAAACAGAAAGAGAAAAGGAGGAAAGAATAAGAATTTCTAACATACATCCAGAGTTACACAAGACAGAAGAGAATGAATGAAAGAGAGAGAACTTGTTTGAAGAGATAATAGCTAAGAAAATGCCTGATCTGATGAAAGACATGAGTCCTGAGAGATGGGAAGTATAATATCTCTCAAGCAGGGTACATTTTTGTTAAATGAGCACAGATGCTAGGCACATCATGTGAAACTGCAAAACACCAAAGCTGAAGAGAAAATTTTGAAAGCAACAAGAGAGAAAGGACAGCTCACCTACCACAGAATGACTGTGGTCTGACAGTGGACTTGCAACAAAAACGAGGAAGCCAAAAGACAGTGGAACCATGTTTTCAAAAGATGAAAAGAAAGAACTGTCAGTCTAGAATTGTATTCTCAGAAATACTGTCTTTCAAGAACGATAAGGAAACAAAAACATTTTGGCCAAGCAAAAGCTGAGACAGTTTACGATTAACAGACTCTTATCAAGGGAACATCTTAAGGACGAATATCTAGGGGCACCTGGGTGGCTCAGTCGGTTAAGTGTCTGACTAGATTTTGGCTCAGGTCATGATCTCGGGGTCCTGGGATCGAGCCCCTCACTGGGCTCTGTGCTCAGCGGAGAATCTGCTTCTCTCCCTCTCTGTCTGCCCCTTTCCCTGCTCACTCTCTCTCTCTCTAAAATAAATCTTTCTTAAAAATAAATAACTAAATAAAGGTTGACCATCTAGAAGAACAAAATGATCTTATCAGGATGGCCTGGGATAGAACAAGAAATGCTGAGCTGAATTGCTCCAGAAGATAGAGAGGATTTTGAGGCAAGAGAAAGGAGACAAGAAAGCTGGCCAAAAAAAGAAATAATTTGTGGGAGTCAAAATTAATGTCTCATAGGATGTTTTATTATGCTTTCGCAGTATGGAATATATTGTGAATTCCTCCTTTTGAATGTCTACAATATCTTCACTAAAATATAGATTTCTCTTAAGTAGGGCTGAATTTATTTCCCAAGATAAGATGAAGAGCCAGATATATGCTCAACATATGTGCAAGGCAGGAACAGGTTTATACATGAAGTGTTGGCAGGGGAGAAGTCACTCTAAATGTGTTCCCCAGCTCTAGTGACCTCAACCTAAGTATTTGCTGGAAGGATCTAGTGGTATTATTTCCACAGTGCACTATGGTAGCTTTTTTTCTCCATACCACTCATCATAAGCACAAGAGATGGCTTACCAGGACTGGGAAGTAAAAGCACCCTTCTTATCTCAAAAGTTAGGGCAGCACCCCCCATTTTCACCACGCCCAGGCCCCAGTGTTGTAGATGACAGGTTCCAAGCACAACTTGAAGTGAAAAGGGAAATCAGAAAAGGCACATTGAGTACTCACATGACCAGGCACTGTGAATCCCCTATTCTGTCATTCAACCCTCAAATATAAAGTATAGGCGGCCTACGAGCTATGTATGGCCATTACATGGTGGTACGGGGCGGGGCATGGAGAAGGGTGCAGCCACAGGAGAGAGGCCCTATGAATTTGGAAATAACTTTGCACCTGATAATTACATTATAAAATCAACACATAATGGATGAGATCAATGATCTAAGGAGTTTTCTAAATTGTGGCAAACTATAGCTTGTATGGTTTTTACATTTTTTAAATGTTGGGGGGAAAAGAAAGAAAAAAATATATGTTTTTTAAAGATTTTATTTATTTATTTGACAGAGAGAGAGACAGCGAGAGAGGGAACACAAGCAGGGGGAGTGGGAGAGGGAGAAGCAGGCTTACCACTGAGTAGGGAGCCCGATGAGGGGCTCGATCCCAGGACCCCAGGATCATGACCTGAGCCGAAGGCAGATGCTTAACGACTGAGCCACCCAGGCACCCCAGAAAGAAAAATATTTTGTAACAAATGAAAATTATATAAGACTTGCATTTCAGAATCCATAAAATGTTACTGGAATACGGTCATGCTTGTTCATTAACACGTAGTCTCCAGCTGCTTTTGTCCCATAATGGCAGAGCTGAGGCATTGCAACAGAGACTGCAGGTAGGGGACGTGTAGGAAAGAGGATGGGACTGTTATTTCAGAGGAAATATTGTCCACATAGCAATGAGGGTTCCCCAACACCCACTGGGATGTGGATGCCCCAAGGCCCCACCTTCTCCTGTTGCTTCTGCTCCGTTTCCTTTCTGCCCCAAATATTTCCTATCAGATTCTTTACAGAAAGTGTTTGTCAACCCCTGGCCTAACTAACAGTACTAACATATTTAAAGGGGGAAAAAAATGTAATAATCAGAAAGGTCAGTGGATGTTTAAGAGGAAAAAAATCAAGAAAATTAAAGCCAGATGAACCCCTGCAAGTACTAACTTAGGAGATTAGCTTGATGAAGACCCAGGGTTAGCAAATCCCAGTAGAACCTGTTGCAAATGGATGCATTGAGCTAAAATAGGATATCAATAGTTGTCATAGCACCATTTACTGAGCACATCTATATGCCAAACATTGTACTTAAGCTGTTACATACATTATTTAATTTAATACTCAACACAAGACTATGAGTGAGGTGGGTACTATCTCCATTTTAAAGATTCTATTTATTTATTTGAGAGAGAGCATGAGCACAGGGAGGGGCAGAGGGAGAAGCAGGATTCCTGCTGAGCAGGGAGCCCCACTCAGGGCTCGATTCCAGGACCCTGGGATCATGATCTGAGCCAAAGGCAGACGCTTAACCAACTGAGCCACCCAGGGCCCCCTATCTCCATTTTAGAGGTGAGAAAATATGAGGTTCAGAGGGGTTAAGTGACTTTCCCAAGTCTCTACAGTCGGTAGAAAAGCTTGAGTCTTGGACCATCTGCCTCCAAAGCTCCTAGCTACTACCCTATATAGTCATTAATATTCTGCTGTTTTACCCAACAAAGAAACGTCAATTCGGTTAGCTCTGCCTGTGCAGCACCTAGCTCAAAGCCTAGCACATCTTAGGTGACCAGAAATCGTTTGTTGAATATGTGAAAGGTCCTTTGCTCACCCAGCAAAGGTTTTATTGTAGTTTGGCTTTTCATGTAGTTGCTCACATGGAAAGAATGCATCAAAGGGAAAACTCAATCCTTATGCCTCTTGCCCGCTCACCGTACTCCACTGTCAAGTAAAATTAAAATGGAATTTAATGTACACGAGTCATTTATGAAGTTGGTTAGTGTAAGTCAATCCCTGATCCACTCTAGGATGATAACAAAATCAAGATCTTTAGCCCACAAAGCTGTGGGGACCAAGCCCTGTCCACACATCAGCACCAGTGGACCTCAGGAACCTTCCAGAAGACAGTTGGTCTCCTTGTGTACTGCCATGAGCCCTCAACAGTGGGCCTAAGAAACAAGATGCCCGGGTAGCAAAGCCATCTCCCTAATAGGAGCAAAGCTGGGCTGCAAAACCAGATCTTTCTGACTCCAGATCCAACACTATTTCCTTCTGCCACGCCTTCTCTTTTGTAAGACAAGATGTTTACCATCCTTCATTTTCTTTAACTACTCAAGAAATCCATATTCATTTTAGGGAAAAAAAAACATAATAAATTAGAAAAAAGAAAAAAGTTATACATAATCTCTCTCCCAGAGATGATCTATTAATATTCTAGGCTATAGGGTCGCCTAGGTGGCTCAGTTGCTTAAGCGTCTGCCTTCAGCTCAGGTCATGATCCCAGGGTCCTGGGATCAAGCCCTGCATCCGGCTCCCTGCTCAGTGGAGAGTCTGCTTCTGCCTCTCCCTCAGCTCGTGCTTGCTCTACCTCCCTCTCTCTCAAATAAATAAATAAAATCTTTAAAAAAAAAATATTCTAGGCTATATTCCAGATTTTTTCTTATGCATGTATGTTTTAACCAAAAATGCAAATGTACTGTCTTATGATATGTTTTGGCCTCTAATAGAGTATGAATATTTTATAACAATTTAGATGTACATATAATCATTTTTAATGTTGTCATCTTTTATTGTATTGATATGCCCTAATTTAGTTCACCAAAATCTCAGTCAGACACTGAGCTTATCTTCGTTTTTAGCCTATAATCTAATGTGTCTACCATATACTCAGTAAGCAATTCCCCCAACTCCAACCCTAATCCTCACTTGACCTCTGCCTCAAATGTTGGTATGAAATCCTATAGCATCCAAGTATTAGCAGTGATAAATACAACGCCTCCATTTCTGAGTTCAGAATCAATTCACAGTAGACACAGTTATTCGAAACAGCAACTTTATTACTAGTAAGTCAGAACAGTTTAGTTAAGGCCACAGATGGGTCTTCCTAACGGAAGACAGAGTCTAGACCTTAGGACAACCCAAACCACCGCCTCGTACCCTCTGCCTCATAAGCACACAGCAAGTAGCAGGCCTGGCCTCTCAGGACATGGAGCAGGGAGAAGGCAGGACACATGGTATCCGCAGGCTAGCAAATTTTCAAGAGAGGGGAAGAGCTAAGATGCCTGTTAGAAGGCCATAACCGCAAAACTACGCATTTGCTTTGGCCATGGCCACGGGCTCAGTGTGGCTGTCCCCAGCCCGCTGTCTCAGCCCTGGTCAATCTGCAGAAAGCACTCAGTTTTGCCTCCACATGAGTCATTCTTAGTAATTATATGAGCTGATGAACTCTGCAGGAGCCTAGCTCTCTCCTGTAAACTGAGGCACAGAGGTCCCAGCCTCTTTTGCTTGGAGGTGGATCCCTGAAGGTTCTGACCACCTCGGGAGCTCCCCAGGGCCTGCAGCTCATGGCCTTCTGCTCTCTCCAAGAGACCACAAATACACCTACCCTGAATGTGTACATTCGCTGCCGTGTCTTCCTGAGACAGTGAGGTCAGCGGGTCCCAATCCTAGCTCATGGCTTTGGACAAGGCACCTCGCTCCTCTGAACCACGCTGCTGTCATCTGCAAAAGAAGGCGAGCAAGCCCCTGTCAGAGACCGTCGAAGTTGGCACGGCAGGCAGGCCCACCCCTGCAGCCTCCCCGACGCCCCCAGCCTGCTCACACTGGCCCGTACCCCTGCTTCTTTTCCACAGGGCTCTCTGCCTGGGCCTGTTATCCCTGCTTCCTTTCCATCTGCCCCTCCCTCCAGTCGGCTGGCCTTTTAAGTTCAGCTTCCCCGGGAAGTTTCCAACACCCGGCTTTCTCAGATGCCACTCCCCTGTGCTGTGGGCTTACCTCACTCATACCCTTATCCGCACACATGCCTGCCTCGCCTATCCATATGCTCCCCAAGCCAGAAGCTTGAGTCTTTGGTCCCCCTTTCCGTGCTCAGTACCTGGCCCGTTGACCGGCCTCTACTGAACAGTACGGGAAATGGGCAAGGAGAATGGGTTCAAATCATCCCAAAGCATCCCTGAGTTCTGGAACTCCATGAGTTTTATCCTTGTTAGTGTCTATAACTCTCCAAACACGGAATCTTACCTCTTAGACTGAAAACCGCCCTTTGAGGGTACTGGGACCCACACCGTGGCAACTCAGCAGGAAGCTTTGTGTGTGCGCGGCCCCATTGGCGCTGGATCAGCAGCTCCGTGCCCAGGATTACTGAGAATCTGGAGCGGGAGCGGCTGCCCCGGGGCCCTGGGTCATGTGTGTGCACAATTGGTAGCCTCTCCAACACAAACAATGCCGGAAAGACAATACCAGTTTGTTCCAGAGAGAGGAATTCTGAGCAGTTGCCATTTCCTGGATGACTGACTGAGTATTCTTTACCCTGGAAACATGAACGGTCTGAACCGAATTGCTTCAAAAACAGCTCTCCCCCTTGTTTCAAATTGAGGAGGTCAATGTTACCTCTGACCGGTTTGTGATAGTGATACTGGAAACAGGGAGGCTTCTGTTTGACATCTCAGTACCACACCCTCCAAGGAAGATGCAAATTCCAGCCTAAAAACCAGAAAGGGGAGTACACAGAAGGCCAAGTACATGCACTGGTTTTCTGGGAGAACTGTAGGTATAATTACTACCTCTGATCAGTCTTGTTGTGCAAATGATTCTGCCTATAACATACAGACATTAAAAAAAAAAAAAAAAAACTTGAATATGGGGCTAAGGAGGAAACCATTGTGGCCTTTTATAAGGGAAAGTGTGTCCCTAAGGAAATAATGAAGGCCCCAGTTGCTCACATCTTACAAAAGAGACTGTACAAAGCTCTCCCGAAAACACTGCGGGGAATAATTCTATGTTAGCTGGGGAATTGGCTAGATGATCTAATAGGTCTTTGCCCTCACTCTAATTTCTATGATTCATGTGTGACTTATTTAATTGTTACCATCTATTGCAGATATATAAAAGAATGCTTTTATTCTAAAAAAAAAAAATCTAAATTCAAATCATCTTTAATATCACACTAAGTTCTCACTCCCGTCACCCTTCAGAACATTGACATATTAACTTTTTGACCTACCCTGAACCCTCCTGCTACCTCCCAGGATACAGAAAGTACATCTGCTATGCCTCGGGGTGTAACACGGAGCCCCCACCCCTCGGGCGCACTGAAAACAGGTTCAGGAGAACTAAGGGTTAAGTGGAGTCCCCCAGGAATTCCAATCTGTTGCAGGCTGCTAATTCAGAAGCTGCCTGGGGCCTAGGTGTAACCACAGCTAGGAAAACAATGCCTAACTGCCTTATCCTCTACAGCATTTAGCATTTATCATGGTCAGAAAACCACCTGTTACTTGGGAGCGATTCAAAAGAATTCTGAGCCATCATTAAAGCAATAATGAATAAAAACATATTGTGAATCGCTACCCAAACCCCAGGCAGATGTGTTCTTTAACTGTGGGCTTGATCTGTGCTATTAATTCGGAATTAGCAATAACAGACAACCGAACATACCCCAAACCAAGACCCTGCCTGCCCCTCGGTTTTGTTTTCTTTCAAGCCCTTGACAGTTGTGGCGAGTAACCTATAGCGAGCAGAGCTGACCGTTCTTGCAAACCTGAGCGGGCGTCTGGCATCTGGCAGCCAATCAGAATCAAACAAACCACTGGATCACTATGAATGCCCATCTCCGAGACTGAAGGAGATAGGCTAGTGGCAGGGACGGGGCGGAGGGGCGGGGCTTTTAACCCCACCCAAGGCAACTGCGGATCTCGGACCCCAGAAGAAAATACACCTGACTACTCGGAACCCACCAGGAGATGCGTCAGGAATTTCACTGGGAAACATCTGAAAACACATTTCTCCAGCTGTCAGCAGAATTGCAATTAAACACAGAAACTCACATGGAGGGGTCAGTGGCAGGGAGGGGTCAGTGTTGACTTGCAAGTTCTCTTTGGCAGCTCTTGGTTTGTTTTTAAGACTTTGATTCCATCTCTTGAAGCTCCTGTGAAATCTTCCAAGAGAAACGTGCTCCAGAGAGGGTGACGGGAAGGGCAGTGGGGGTGGGAAGTGAAGAAGAGAGGGGCAAAGCAATTTTGTGGTACGCGGGTGTTCATAACTTTGTATTAAAGATTACCCTTAGAAGAATTCAGAATTCGGTTGACAGATCTATGCAAATGTACGAAAAGTGGAAAAAGACAAGCTGGCGTTCATTTCAAAAGTTGAAAGCATCACTTTGATTTGCAATGATCTTCAATCTACCTCTTTTACCGCAAAGAAACAGTGCAGAGGAGCCCCAAATGTCATGAAATAAAGCCTGCCAATGTTCTGTTGGCATATATTTTAATTCTTGAACAATTACCCTGCCATATACATTTATTCTTGAATTTTATATATTGACACACTAAATTTTGGAGCTGGAAGAGAAAATGACACTTATAAATACCTCGAAATGGAAAATCGACTTACTTTAAAATACAGTCTGCGCGTGCGCGCACGCACGCTACTCTAAATCTGTAAAAAGTACAAGGTGTTATTGCTTTATTGCAGTTGGCTTAATGTTACTCTCCAACACTTTGAATATACATGTTCATGCCCTGAAAATGTTTTGATTAAGTGTTTTCTGGGATACACTATCATCTATATTTAGGACATGATCTCTAAAATAGCTACAATAAGTTGCATTAATGTGAGTTTGTAGTTGACAGTGGCTTTATGTGGCTGCTATCATTTTATTGCCCTTCAAGGGCTCCCCTTTGCCTTTCAAATTAATTACAGACTATTATTCAAAACTGCCCAAATATGCCCCCAAACTCCTTTTCTGGATTCATCTTCTATTACTCTACAAACTTCATACCAGCCACAGACGACTCCCGAATGCTCTACACAGCCTGCTTATCTTTTGTGTTATCTCTATGCCTATGCTCGCCCTATTTCCTCCTCTTAAAATGCCCTTCCTAACCGATCCCAGTTGAAGTCTCAACCCAAAGACCATGTCCTGGAAGCAATATCTTCATCATCGCCGTATCCCCAGCATCCATCACAATGACTGGCAAGGGTAGAGACTCAACATGCCTTGAATGCATGGATTTTCACATCCTTTTCGAAACTTAGTCTTTTAATTAAGCCTTTTCCAATCCCTTTTCCTACTGGACCCCAGAATGCGGTGTTGGAATTCTTTTGTGCGACTGCCTTTATTCTATCTGTATCACGGTTACCAGGCATACCTCGTTTTATTACATTTCGCTTTATTGTGCTTCATAAATATTGCATTTTTTAACACACTGAAGGTTTGTGGCAACCCTGGGTCGAGCATGTCTACCAGCATCATCTTTCCAACAGCATTTGCTCACTTCCTGTCTCTGTGTCATATTTTCTTAATTCTTACAATATTTCAAACTTTTCCGTTATTATTATATGATGCCGATCTGTGATCAGTGATTGCAACTCACTGAAATCAGCTCAAATGATGGTTAGCATTTTTAGCAATATTTTTAAATTATGTACACTGGTTTTTTTTTTAGACATAATGTTCTTGCAAACCTAATAGACTGCAAGATAGTATAAACATAACTTTTATATGCACTGGGAAACCAAAAAATTTATTTAACTTGCTTTGTTGTGATATTCACTTCATTGCCACGTTCGCTTTATTGCAGTAGTCTGGAACCAGCCCACGTACCTTCAAGGCATGCCTGTACTTGTCTCCTCCTCCTCTCCCTGGCCCCTCTCTCTCTAGCACCAACCTCCCCCCCCCACCCCGCCCTCCATGATAGTCTCCTTGTCTTGCCGACTATGTGCTAAAGCTATTAATCCACATCCCTTCCATGTACCTTACACTCGGTGTTTAATAACGACACTATCGAACATTCGCACAGCGCAGAAAATTCTACAAAGCACTTTCACATTCATTATCTCCTTGTCCCTACAATAAGCGTATAAAATAGAAAGGGCCACCATTTGATAGATAATAACAGGTAACATTTATTGAGGGCTTCCTTCAGACCAAGCCCGTTAAATACATGAGCTTGTTTAACCCTCACCGCCCCTGGAGGACACAGCCCTGGTTTGTGCTCATTTCCAGAGGAAAAACCTGGAGCCCTGGATGGGCCACGTGAAAAACCAAGGGCACCGGGCTGGGAAGCGGCCGAGCTGGGTGTGGGAGCCCAGCATGGTCTGGCTCCAGCCTCCGTGCATTCAGTCACTGCCCCAGCCGAAGCTTAGCGAGGCTGTCTGGAAATCTCAGAGCTTAGAGAAGGCACAGCCAGGGCCGGAAGTCCGTTCTTCCCATGACACTGCCTCTTCTGTCTTCTCTGGAAAGGCCTCTGAAAAAAATAACTGAATTCAGTTTGCAAGCTGAGTCTGGATGGGTCAGACAGTTGCGAAGAGCACTGATTCTGCACCTGACTCCCTGGGGGCGGAGTCTAGCCCCACTCCCTACTAGCAGCGTGGTGCTGAGCCCGCCGCCGGCTGACCTCTCTGAGCCTCCTGTCCCCATCTGTGCAATGGGGGCAGCAAGAGTATCCACCCCGGGAGGGTGTTGTGAAGACGAAATGGTAATAGACTTCAACATACAAAGAGTGTGAGGAAAGGCGCTTGCTTTATGCACGCTTGGCATCCTGCCCGTTCCATGGGGTTCGCAGGCCAATGGGTGGGCCAAAATGGCTTCACTTGGGCTTCCAGCATCTCTGGGTGCTAGGGCCACCCCTAAAAATTCAAGAGAATGATTCGGCTCCAGGCAAAAGAGGTCCTGCCATCTTAGCAGCGATATTAGGACTTGGTGGGCCCCTCCCATCTGCCCAGGCTCCTGGACAGAAGAGCTGACCAGGGCCACGGGTGCAGCATCCTGCCGTGGAGACCCAGCTCTAATCTGATCCCGCTCTAATCTGCCCGCGCCCCCGCCCCCAGATTCACTCCCGGCCCATTAGCAAGATCCTAACGACCCTACAGATGCGCATTTTGCCCTTCTTTCGCACATGGTCCTCCAGATGGGACTGACATTCTACACTACCCCGTTTTCCATTTGTGTGCACTTAACCCAACTAAAAGGCCACCAACAGTGTCCGGCTGCAGACTCCCAAGCCCTCTTATCTGTCCATCTCTCGACTCCCAGCTCTCTGCTTCTCTCTTTGTCTCCTTCTATTTCTCTGTCTCTTCATCTCTCTGAGTCTCACGTTCTCACTTTCCCGGAGTATTTTTTTCTTTCTCTTTTTCTCTCTCTTTCTGTCTCTCTCTCTCACTCTCTCTCATACACACACATTCTCTCTCTCTCCCTCTCTCCACCTCCCACCCATCCAACATGACACACTAATTGGGCTCCCAAGTGAGTTTGCCTCATCCCTACGAGGCAGGAGTGAACGGAGATGGGCTTCACACCTGTCAGTTAAGCTCAATCACTTGTTGTGTGAAAACAGAGCCAGTGCCCAGGAACAGGCCGACCTGGCTGGATTGGGTCCTGCCTCAGCTGTCCTCCAAAGTGGGCTCCGGGAGCAAATGCTCCTTCTGTTCTCAGTGGACGAGGGCGTCTCCTGGAATGTCCCGGGAGCAGGTGTGGGCCCCTCCATAGGGTGGACAGAGGAGGCCCGTTCTCAGCAGGTTTATGGAACTATATGTACTGCAGTTGGTCAGCTATTTTTACAAAATTCCAATTACACCGCAAAAGGACAAACATCACATAAAAAGGAAATAGGTGATCTCCCAGCACTCATGTCACTGGAGTACATCAGTAGCAAGGAAATGTCTTGAGACCGGACCGGCCATAATAGGAAAGAAATATTACCCGAAACAAAGGTGCCTCTATTAATATATTACTTTCGATTTAAAATGGTCTGCCAACTGGAACAGAGCCCATCAAGAGTGAAAGCTAGATGTTGCTGTGAGGGAAGGGTGGGAATATTTTTAAGGGTAGGCTGCCATCCAAGTCTCCATCTATCATGTTACTCACTTGACGATTATTTAAGGGCTTCCAGGGTGGAAAGCATGGTGCTAGCCACAGAGGACGTCCCCAGCCACACAGAGCTTACAGTTTAGTGGAAAATGAGAACATTCTCCATTCTGTGTGCTGAGCGTTGGGAACATGGAAGCCCAGGGTGCTAAGCATGGAAAGTGAGGGGCTGCACATGGAAAGTGAGGGGATGGGGCACACTAAGGAGTCAAGCAGTCAGGAAAGGCTTCCCAAAGGAAACGACAGGGAAGCTATGGACTGATGCGTAGGACTAGCAAGGAATGAGTGTTCCAGGCAAAAGGGACAGAGAGGGGCGCTTGGGTGGCTCAGTCGGTAAGCGTCTGCCTTCGGCTCAGGTCATGATCCCAGGGTCCTGGGATCGAGCCCCACATAGGGCTCCCTGCTCAGTGGGAAGCCTGCTTCTCCCCCTCCCTCTCCCACTCCCTTTGCTTGTGTTCCTTCTCTTGCTGTGTCTCTCTCTGTCAAATAAATAAATAAAATCTTAAAAAAAAAAAGGGACAGAAAGTGCCCAGGCCAGAAAGGGGAGAAGTTGGAGACATGAGAGAAGCTGATGGCAAAGGGTCTGATGGGCCCCACTAAGGAATCGGGGCCTCATCCTGAGGTCAATGGAAAGTTATTGGGGGTTTTAAGTAGGGTACAATGTAACCAGAATTGCACTTTAGAAACATCACTGGCTGCTGTGGAAAGAAAAGAATGGTAGCAAGCAGGAGGCTGTTGTAGTAAACACGGTAGAGAGAATGAAGGAATCAAGTGGGGTTTAGGAGACAAATCCATAGGGCTTGATGACTGGTTGTTTGAGAGTGTGGTTAAGAGGAGCAGTCAAGGATGACGTGTTGGCCTTTGGTTTGGGGGTGGTGCATTTCCTACTGTAGCAAAGATGGAAGAGCAGGGTGGTCAGGAGGGGATGTGTCCCTCTTGGGGCATGTGGATAATGCTATGGACACCTATGGCACTCAGACTCTAGACCCAACCCCCTGGTGCTCCTGTCCTTGTATAACCCCTTCCCCTTGAAGGGGCTCCCCTCTTCTTGTGGGCAGAACCTATGACTTCCTTCTAACCAAGAGAATATGTCACTCCTGTGATTACATTATGTCCTACAAAACTCTCTCTTAGCCAACTGGACTAGAAACTCTCCTGTAGGCTTGATGAAGTGAACAGCCATGTTGAGAAGGCCCACATGGTGAGATACAGCCAGCAACCTCTAGAATCTGAGGATGGCCTCCAGCCAACAGCCTGTAAAAAGATGGGGCCTCAGTCATATAGCTGCATGGAAGTTAATTTTGCCAACAACCCAAGTGAGCTTGGAAGTATTCTTCCCCCAGTCTAGCGACCAGATGAAAGCACAGCCTAACTGACCCTTTGGTCTCAGTCTGGTGAGACCCTGAGCAGAGGACCCAGCTAAGCCAAAGCTGGACTCCTGGCCCATGAAAGCCATGAGATAATAAATGTATATTGGTTTAAGACATTAAGTGTATAGTATGTAATTTGTTATGCCTCAATAGAAAAAATAATACAGTATTTAATTAGAGATAGCAAACAAGCAATTGGCCATATGGGTCTGGGCCACAAAACAGAGCTCAAGACTGGAGATACACATTTGGTAATTATTAACATATAGATAGTAGCCAAAGCCAAGGGGAATGTATAGTGACAAGGAGACAGCCAAGGACAGAAACCTGAGGATCCACTAACATTTAGTTGGTAAGTAGATAAGAAAGAGTCTCAAGGGATTCTGGAAAAGAGTGCCCCGCGAGGTAGGAGGAAAACTAAGAATATGGTTGTATTAATAAGAGCCAACATTTAGTAAGAACTTTCCATGCTCCAGGTACTATTTTAAGTGGATGACAAGTATTAGCCCCTCTATGAGGTATTATCATGGTAGAATTCTTATATTACAAATGAGGCAACTGAGGCACAGAGAAAATACATAGCTTGCCCAAGGTCACACAGTCACACATCTAGTAAATGCAAGAGCAAGGATTCTAACTCAGGTGCCTGCCTCCAGAGTCCGGGTTCTCACCCATTTATGCCAAATTGACTCTGTTCTGAGGAACAGAAACCCAATGCAAACCAACATAACCATAAGTGCAGATTTATTAGTTCACCATAACCAAAACTATGAGGGGTAGAACACAGGACATATTTTAGGCACACTTGGGGAGATTGAAGCAATGCCATCAATCTCTCTCTCCTCTCTCTACCCCCCGCTCAGCTTCCCTTATGTTGGCTTTATTGCCACACACACTCTGTTGACATGATGGCAAAGAGCTGCCAACAGCTCCATCCTGACATTACCTCCATAGGAGAGTTCCTCCTCCATCACTTACCAAACCAAACCAGTTATAGGATACAGGTGGATGAGTTTCCCCTTCTTTACCCCAGATATAGAAGTGATTGAGAGATGCGGGCAAGAGCCAGGCAAATAGGGCTCACATGTCAGATTTAAGGTGGTGGGGGGGAGGGAAGAGGGTACCAGAGTGAAGACATGGTTTATGTGTTTGACTATCTCATATTGCACCTAAGAATGAAAGTTACCGCCAGTCATAGCCAACACTGGACAACTGGCAGCTACCTACAAGAGCACAGTTTGGGACACACAGCGTGCCCAGCTAAGCTTGCCATGTGGCAGCATAATGCACTTTCTCTGCAGGCAGAAGGAGAAAAGCCTGCTGAGTCACATAGGCCTTCTCCCAAACTCACCTATCAGATGAGTCACCTCTCTACCCACCTTCCCCTCCTCCACCATCCCCTACAGAATAATGAAAAAGAAAAAAAAAAAAAAAATCCCAGGCACACACCTATTAGAATGGCTGAAATTTTAAAACCTGACAAGACCAAGTGTGGATGAGGACATGGGACCACTGGAAGTTTCATCCATGGCCAACAGGAATGCAAAATAATACAGCCACAGTAGCGGACAGTTTCTTATGAAGTTAAATGTACTTTTACCATATGGCCCAGAACCCACCCCTAAGTATGGATCCAGGAGAAATGAAAACACATGCCCGTACAAAGGTCTGTACATGAATGTTTATAGTTTTATTCATAGTTGCCCCAAATTGGAAACCATCCAAATGTCCCATCAACTAGTAAATGATTGAACAAATTCTAGTATCCACACAAAAGATACTACTCAGCAATAAAAAAGAACACACCACTGATACAACAATGTGGATGAATCTCAAAAGCACTGTGTTATGTGAAAGAAGCTATCCCAAAGGGCTACATACTATATGATTCCATTTATACAATATTCTGGAAGTGGCCAAACTACAGAAACAAAAACAAGATCAGTAGTTGCCAAGTGTTGGGGTGAAGAGAGGGATTAAATACCAAGGGGGATAAGGGAACATTTGGGGG